CTTCCTTAGGATATAATGGTGATAACCCAGGCAGGATGCTTTCCAAGTCACCAGAGAAAATCTCCGTCACTATTATGCTTCAACCAAGAGCTGACCGACCCCGCCTGGAAGGATTCCCATTTCCCTAGGCCCAGGGGCGCCGGGAGGTTGCTTTTATGAGTCTGATCTTCCTGGAATCTGTCTATCTACATCAAAGCTTCCATGAACTAATAAAGCCAGGCAGAAAGACTGCCCAAAAGAACAAAAACACTGAGCGTAGGACGCTTGAGTTTTCACTTGCACAAACCAACTATTAGCATCATTGTCATAACTCGTGGCACTCAGGTAACCTTACAGCATCGTGCTAAACCTGCATTAATCTCACGACCCCCTGCTGGACAGGCAAGGGCTGCTTCGTCTCACAGCTGAGGGGCAGGGAGTGCCCACAGGGACTACGAACAGGCGACTGGGAAAAACCTGAGCTCAGCACAGTCTCAGAAGCTGGGACCAACCAATCCCTTTGAAAATTCAATCATAAACCTTAATCAAGTCACATCGTTGGACCCCATGATTCTGATTCAGGGAGCTTAACCTCAGAAAATGGCCCAATCCATAGAAGAGCTCATTGCACAACGGTGTTCCTCAAAGCATTATTCATAAGGGCGAAAGCTGTCAAAAATTGCAATGTCCAGTAATAACACAATTTAAAAATTGAACACCAATAAAAAATAAATTTATTATTAAAAAAATTCAAGTACACACACATAAAAGAATGTTATGCAGCAATTTTAAAACATATCTATAAAGGAAATGCAGGGGCGCCTGGGTGGCTCAGTCAGGGTTGACTGTCCAACAGGCTGTGGTCTCAGGGTTGTGAGATAGAGCCCCAAGGCTCTGCGGTCAGCTGGGCATCTGCTTGGGATTCTCTCCCTCTCCCTCTGCCCCATCCCACCGCTTGTGCGCACTCTTTATTTTTTATTTTATTATTTTTTTTTGTGCACACTCTTTAAATAAATAAATAGAATTTTTAAAAATGTTCATCATGTAATGTTTAAGGGGAACGATCAGATGATAGAACTGGATACACAGGAGGAAACGCACCCAGGACAAAAGAGACCGAAAGGACAGAAGCCAGATGTTAACAGTGGAAAGCTGCACGTGGCAAGATTGTATGTATGGGTCATTATTTTTCTAATGCAATTTTTCTGTGCTTTCCAAATTTGCTTACAATGAACGACCTGTTCAACTAAGTTTTTGTTTTTTTGTTTTTTGTTTTTTTTGGTCACAAAATAGTACCTAAATGATGAGAATCATTTCTAAATTCTATATGCTGGGAAAACGTAATGTACAAATTCCCGTGTGCCAGGAATAGCCTAAGAAAAGCGTAATTAGGAGGAGGAATTTGCAATATGTATCCATGTGTGTGAACCTACAGTTACACAGGAAACAAGGTGTAAGAGGGGCACCAAACCAGCACTGGCGTGGTGAGGAAAGGGCTTCCAAGCTCCCACCAGCCGAGCACACCCAGCTTCCCGTCAGTCCCCAGGCTTCCCTCCCAGCCGAAGCCCTTCCTTAAGAGGACTCCTGAGTCCCCAGACCCCATCACCGAGGGAATTGAAATATAAAACATAAATGACACATCTTTTTAAGGGGAGGCAGGCATGCTTAACTACATGGTGGTTTCTGTCATGCTCCAGAACAAGATTTAAAGCCAAGGAAAAATGCCTTAACCCCTTCACCCGTTTAAATATCTAAAAAAAAAAAAAAAATTATCTCACAATCCTAAAACTTTGAAGTTTTGCTCTAGTATGACTTCTTTGATAATGAGTAAAGGTTGAAAGGTGATTAAAGGCCTTTTCCACCGGCCTAGAGAATCCACAAACTCCATGCATCTTCAATTCCAGAAACTAAGACATTTAGCACCTTTCGTTGCCCTGGGACTTCAAGAAAAGACTAAAGTCAAGAAATGTAAGAAGAGCGAGTCAATTAAGGGGTGGGTGCCAGGCTCCTACCCACCCCTACAGCTTTACCCCACTGCTTGGGCAGCGACAAAGCATCGGCCGTTTCATTCTACATCCCAAGCAACCTTCATCGACCATGTGGAGAAAGGCGAGAAGAGCAGGCAAAGAATAAAAATGACGAGCCCAGTCCACAGGGACCCACTTCCAGGGAAGGCCGCATCCGTAGGTCCCCTGCACTCTATCCATGCTCCTTTATCTCCCCAGGGACACTGGGAAGCTAATGCCATGGTCCTAGAGGTACTCGTGGGCCCGGCTCGTAGAACTCATATTCAATAATCGACAGCTTCCCCAAAAATGCACAGATCGGGGTGCCTGGGTGGCTCAGTTGGTAAAGCATCCTGCTCTTGTTTTCAGCTCAGGTCATGATCTCACCGTTGTGGGATCAAGCCCCACGTCGGGCTCTTCGCTTAGGGTAGAGTCTGCTTCAGATTCTCTCTCCCTCTCCCGCTCTCTCTCTCTCTCAAATAAATAAATAAAATCTTTAAAAAAAAAAGAATGTGCAGATTAGTGAATTCAATCACCTCTGTTGAGGAAATGGGACAAGTCGGTTCTGCTTTTCAAGACCTAATTCTCCCAACCTCTCCCCTAATCTCCACACCCCTCTTGCAACTTGCCCAGCTATCATAAGCAAGGGGCACGTGGGAATCCCGGTAGGATATGGTTCCTGGTTTAGCAGGGCTACGTGATGCAGAGGCCAGTTAAACCCCGCGCTCTGCTGGGGCGACCAGGCAGCGGTAGGCTCCCTAGGTGGCTCCCGGGTGCAGCTGAGGCTGCACAGTGCTAGAAGCTTTGGGAAGGCTGCTCTGCCTCACTGCCGGCTCTGCTGAGCGTGCCCCTGCACCAAGCATGAGCACACCTGCAAGGCCTCTGAGTTGTCGTGAGGACAGAATTAACACAGGGAAGACACACGCCAAGTTTCCTAAAACAATGGCCGTGGGTAGTATTTTACTACTGCTACCAACATGATCATTATTAAAATAAATTTTTAAAAATCTTATCATCATTCAGGTAGGCTGATGCAACTAGGAGGAGGCCAAAGTCTTATGGAAACAGAGTTCTTGCATTAACTAGAAGTTAAAAGAAGCCAAGAAAACATGAGTTGGAGAGGAACCCCGAGAGGGTGGCGCAGAGCCAACGGGTGAGGAAACGAGCAGGGTCCTTGGTAGCCGGCGACCAGGGCGGTGACAGGCACGGCTGCAGCTTCCGCTGCTTGGGCCTCAGGGCGTCAGGCACTGTCCTAACTCTGGTGAGTTCTGCAGGAGGAACAGGGCTTCTATTACGCAGAATCAACTGCCTCAGTGGCCCAGGCACAAGCCAGCGTGGGTCCTGGGGGGGGTCTCCTCAGAGTGTGGGAGCCTCCCCGGGCCTCCCGGCTGTGTCCCAGGGAGCAGAGAAGGCTTCCAAGGGCCACTCCCACTCCCAAGAGCTGCTTCGTGTCATGTCCCCATGTGCTGCCCTCCATGAGGAAGAGTGGAGGTGACATCCCCCGAGGGCGCAGCCTGTGCGACTGAACGGCCGCAATGTGCCCACGAAGGGAGGCCGGGAGGGCAGGGTCCTGGCAGCCCGACGGTCCTGAAGCACCTTGATGGTGCTTCTCTGGGTCTCCATTTAAATACGGCCTCGTGCACCTCAGAGGGCGCCGACGGCTCCGGGGGGGCTCTACGTCCAGGTGCGGGTGCCAATGGGCCCAGGGGGGCTCCCACGTCCAAGTGCAGGTGCCGACGGGACCTGGGGAGGCTCCCACATCCAGGTGCAGGCGCTGACGGTCCTGGGGGGGCTCCCACTTTCAGGTGCAGGTGCCGACGGGCCCCGGGGGGGCTCCCACGTCCAGGTGCAGGTGCCGACGGGCCCTGGGGAGGCTCCCACATCCAGGTGCAGGTGGCGACGGCCCTGGGGGGGCTCCCACGTCCAGGTGCAGGTGCCGACGGGCCCCGGGAGTGGGAGCATGGAGGACTAGATGGGGCCACCGGCTGGACACTTAGGTCCGTCAGGAGCGGCCGGCCGGGGGGCGTGGAGGCCCGTGGCTGCACTCCGCACACTGGCCTCGCCCTCCCTCTGAGCAGCTGCAGACGCCGAGTCCCCGCAGGCCTCGGCCCGGCAGCCTCACCTGCTCTCGCCACCAACCCTGAACCACTGCGCACCCCTAGGGGTCACGGGACCACAGAATACGGTTGCTTCTCACGGTGATTCCACCATCTTTCCGTGAACACAAAAACACCTCTTTTTGTGTAGAAATGTTTCTCCTGGATTCCAGGAGTCTCTTCGACTTCAAAGCCCCCGTTTCATTCATGAGGAGCCAGCGGTCCGCAAGGATTTGGTGGCTTCCTGGGACGTCGAGTGAATCAGACAAGAAGCAAGGACCCACATTCGAAAGGCCCTGCCTTGCAGGCCATGGCTCGGGTGCATCGGCCAGACTGATTCCCTGCAAAATGCGCGAACCGGAACCCTTCGCCTCTGAGTGCAAAGCAGATATTGTGCAATGTCAGATATTGATGTGGGGCTTCTCCGGGGGCCCCCTTATGTGAGAAGAATCCTAACGGCATGGTTGGTTCAGCAGAACCGTGCCCCAGCACCCTTTGCACATGAGCAAATCGGAGAAGCAAAACTGGAGATGGGGAGGGAGAAGTCGCTCATCATCGATAACTATTCCCTCGGAGACGCTTCCCAGTTCCGTAAAGAAAAACCCACCTCCGACCTTTACACCGCAAGTAACCTATTCCCTTTAGAGAACAGCGACTTGGAGGATATTGTGCGTGCCACATTGCTCAACGAAAGCAGAATCGCAAAATGCCAAATGCATTTTCAAATTCCTATTCAGAGAGCAGAAAAACATAGTATTATTTTGTCAAAGTCGGTTTGCATGGCAGCCTGAGCCCCTTGCCTCTGTAAGGCCTTCAGCTCATAAATGCAAATGCACACTCCTCTTATAGAGCTGTTTGGTGTTTTATCAACCTACCAACTAAAAGTTGAAATAAAGCTTTAAGTGTGGAGGGTTCTCACCTGTGAAAGCATTTGTGGCCTGAAAACCAGCTTCCTGCATACTGCTCCCCAGACAAGCCTGTGCTCCAACTCTTAAGCTATCCTGTCAAGAGGAAATCGCCTGGGCAAGGCCTCAGGTCACTTCCATCTTAGCTTGTCGGAGTCCATCGCTCTGCCCCGTCCGGCTTGTGGTAGCATCTGATGCCCACCTGCCCTGCTCCCAGACACTGAGAGCAGTACCTGGGACAGCACCCAGTCCAGCAGCGTGCACACTTGGGGCACACAGTCACGTCAGCCGTCCAGCCAAAGGGTGAAGGCCATGGTGAGCCCAGGAGCAGAGGACGCTGTCCCGCTGAGACCTGCTCTCCCACCTTAGAGTGAGGCCCTCGTCAGCCACTTGGCAGCCAGCATCCTCCACGGGTCTCAGCCGCTCTAAGGGAGCTCAGTATGGTCTGATCTGCTGCTCTCTGTGCTTCGCCTCTCCCCTTGCTGAAATTAAAAAGAAAGAGATCACTTTCCTGATGACTTGTAGGAGCATCAAACTCAGTAGACCCATAGGGGCCGAAAGAAAGAGCGAGAGCAAGAGAGAGAGAGAGAGAGAGAGAAAGCCACCCGGAGTGGTGCTCGTGGGCACTGCAGCAGCTCCGGGGAGGGGGCAGGTCCAGCACCTTTCCCTGCATGTCTGTGAAGGAGCGGGGAGCAGAGGTAGCTTTTACTTGTACCCAGGAAAAAAAAAAAAAAAGACAGAAGAAGCCAGCGTCCTCTGCTCTAAGCCTTGCTGAGATGGCTACAAAGGTCACACAACACCCAAATGGCTTTCCCTCAGTTACTCAGAGTCCACAGACACCCTGCAGAAGAGACCCACTTCCCGGGCTTGTTCCCGAGGGATCAGAAGTGAGGTCTGAGGTTCATACCCATAGCCGTCAGTGCTCCGGGAATGACTTGGGTTGACTAGTTTATCAAAAATATCAAAAAAATAAAATCAAAAAATAAATTAAATAAATAAATAAATAAATAAATAAATAAATAAATAATAAAAATGACTATCAAAGGGGACAACGGAGGCCTGTATCAATCTCTTAAAGAGTGAGGAGGAAAAGCAAACTTAATCTGAAAATTTATGTTACATATTACATAATCATAAAAGCACTTTATGAAACACTTTCCAGATAGTCTCATGTTGTTATATTACACAAGAAGCAGCACCGATAACAAGAATGTCACAAATCCAAAGGATGAGACTTTTTAAAACAGAACCCAAATAGTCATCTCTGGTATTAGAGGAAAAGAAAGCTTTTTTTTTTTTTCCAATATCATCACTTCAGTCTAATAAATTTATATCAATCTTTAGAGAATATAACCTTGATTCCTCTTTTTCACCATCAGAATAGAGGTAAATAAAAATAAGGAAACAGCGCATGACGGAAAGGAACACTCTGTTAAATGTTCATTGTAAATATAAGGTAGAAACAGAAATATCACTGATACAGACTATGAGGAAGACCTTATGTATCAATGAAGCACCATAATTACATTAAGAAATTCAATTGTGTTGACTTCATCGACCTGCAATATCACAGTTAATAGGGTGTAGCATACCACGAGTCCTTACACTTAATGAATAGGTTAAAAAAAAAACCTTACTTTAATTAAAAATCATTTCTGAAAATGATGGTTTTGAAGTACTTGAAAATGTGACAAAACATTTTTTTTCTCTGAACTGAAACATTCCACATAAAATGACCCAACACTCACAGTATCAGCACCCTAAAATCCTACACTAACTTCTAACGTAAACCTAATCACATGTACTATACCTATCAATCTTAGGAAATGGAATTGCCAGGAAAAAACCAAAACCTACCTGCCCTATTCTTTAAAACCTTGATTTTCTTTGCCCTTTGCTATGGTGTTTTCCATGCACAGAAATGCTAGACTTTATTTATTCTCTGTTTTAAACTCAGAGACAATGTGAAGCGTGATGAGGTGTTTGTTGTTATTTTATTGTAGGCTTTCTGTTTATTTTATTTTGTTTTATTGCAAAACTTAAAAAAAATCAAGCTAACCTATATCACATTTCAAATGGCTATGGGGAAGACTAAGGCAGATATGGACAGAAACAGAACAACAACTTTTTTCTTTTTTCTTTTTTTTGCCATTTTTATCCATCTTACCATCTGTTTTCAATTCTTCTAAACGAGAAGTATGGTGACAGGTGTGTAGCAGCTCATTTTGGAGTATCAGGCAAGGTACTGGCATGGATTTTTAGGAACTTTAGGGTATGATGTGTGTGTTTCCCAATAAAGACCAGACGGACAGAACTGTATTATCTCATTAATGAGTAACTTTTATATTCCTGCATACGTTCAGGAATATATACAATTTTTATTTTTTTATTTATTATTTTATTTTTATATAGAATTTTTAAGTTAAAACTTAACTGTAAAATGCCATAAAATGTTTTCTTCCCAGCCACTAGCAACACAGATACCCATTCTAGAAGTATGCAAGAAAGAGTGAGGAGGCCCAGGACCTGGAGACTTCATTGCGTTCAGCAAGGGACCTGATCATCCGAGACAGGGCCAGGAAGCCCATCACACTCAGCAAGAAAGTGTCGGATGACCCGACAGGCTGTGGAACAGAGCTGGGGGATTAGGTCCCAGAAATAGCAAAAACGAAGCACATCTGCTTTCACAGCTTAGTAACCAACCAAGCATCAGCAAAAAGGCAGAGCAATGGAACGAATGCTACATCATCCATGTCTCCGTCTAACCCTCTCCTATGGCTCTTGCCCTCATTCTGCTCCCCTTCCAACCTCAGTTCAAATGACCCTCCCCCGCGAGGCCTCCTTGACATCCCCCAGGTGACCTCAGAGCCTGGCTGCCAGCTCCGCATCGCTGCTCCAGGTCACGGCTGCACGCAGGGGCCCTGAGCACCATTGCCCTCTCCCCTGCTGGAGTGTAGGCCCGTGAGGACAAGGACGGTGAGCGGCTCACTTTCCGCTTCCCCCCGGCAGCTCGGACCCTGCCGATGCAGCACACCGGGGAGCTGGGCCAAAGCTTCCAAGACAAGCCGCCCGCGGGCAGCGCGTCCTGGCCGAGAGGCTACTCTGCAGTGCTGGAGCCTCTGAAGTGGGCGGGCGTCCCCTGCCCCCTGGGGTCAGGGTGAGACAGTGACTAGGGCAGTAGCTCCCTGCGCGCTCACACCCATGGAGCATCCTCCGGGAGAAGCCCTCAGAGGACGTTGTTTCAGATCCCCTCAAAGCACAGAGCGGGGAAAAAAAAAAAAGAATAAATAAATAAATAAATAAATAAATAAATAAATAAATAAATAAAATAAAAGCACAGAGGTTAGGAGACTGAACTCCAAAAACTACTGCACGGGGGAGTCAGGACTGGGCCTGCGCCTCTGGACCCTCCATCTGTGCTTCCCGGGCTACCTGCGGTAGTCAGGTAAGCCTAAGTTCCCTAAACTAAAGTGCCTTAACCCCAATAATACTCAAATCAGGGAAATCAAGGGGGAGAAAATGAAGGGAAAGTAAACACAGGGAGGCGATTCACCCAGGATGCAAGTTCAGAGTCATCGTAAGCCATCAAGAGCCCCCAGTACAGCAAGCAGGGGAACATCGTCCTGTCTTCACACACACACACACACACACACACACACACACACACACACACACACGTGTTCTATTTACCCTGGAAAGATGGGAAAGCCCAACCAGGAAATAAATTAATTCAATACCGTACTTGAAAAATGTCATTAAGTCCCTCCCATAACAGAGCAACAGTTACTAAGGAAATCGAGCACATCAAATGGAAAAACATCCCCACAGGAAGGGACACTTTTTTTTAAAAAACATGAACACCCACAGAACCTAACCAAATAAGTTAAAGAATATGTTTGCTTTACCCCTGATTCATAAAAACTTACATCAAGTGCAGTCCTCCCGGGAATCATTGGGGGAATGAAGACTGCATTCAACAGATCACAGCTTTCACAAAATCGCACTACAAAAATAGACACATGCGATTCAGGAAACATTAGGGTCACTCAGTAGACACAAAGGCCAAAACCCAGAAACAAAGCGAAACAACCTTTTTTTTAAAAAAAAAATCTACAAACACTCAAAACATTTGTAGTGCACAAGGAATAAACACTACAGTTTCATTTTGTATTTCCTCTCCGTGCAGACAGACTGCTTCCCTGGCAGAGTGTCGGTTACCTAGGGGACGGCCAGACTGAGCAGCCGAACGGGCTCCAGGCCGAAGACAGTCGGGGAGCAGAGGCCCCATGCCTGGGTCTGATGGTTTCTCACTGCTCTACTCCCCACCAGAGAGGTCCAAGGGGGAATGGGACACTGAGACATGAAGAGACAGCTCTAACCTTGACCAAAAAAATAAAAATAAAAAAATAAAAATAAAGTAAAAACATAAAAATTAACACATTAAGAGTCGTACTACACTGCTCACCAAAAAAAAAAAAAAAAAAAAAAAAAAAAAAAAACTCCACTTCTGGCTGGTTCACTTAAGTTTAAAGCGACAATGGACACTGAGCAAGACAGATGTGAGAAAAGAGCAGCAAGAAGAAACCTGAGGATCTACTTCCAGCCAGAGTCCGAAGCAAGAGTTACCCTGGGAATATAAGAAATAGTGAAAGGGAATAAAGGGGAAAGGAGAAAAAATGAGTGGGAAATATCAGAAAGGGAGACGGAACAGGAGAGACTCCTAACTCTGGGAAACGAACTAGGGGGGGTGGAAGGGGAGGTGGGCGGGGGGTGGGGGTGAATGGGTGACGGGCAGTGAGGGGGGCACTTGACGGGATGAGCACTGGGTGTTATTCTATATATCGACAAATTGAACACCAATAAAAAATAAAAAAATAAATTAAAAAAAAGAGTTACCCCCGGGAGAGAGACGGAGCGTTTCCCACCCGAGCTCCTCCATCTCACAAACAGACACTCTGAACCTTGGCAAGCGCCCAAGAGTCTCGTTATTTCGAACAGCAAACAGGTGTGTCCTAGGGAAAAAAACATGCTCCCTGCCCTCAAGGCAGCCACGGGGCGGAGGGGGTGGGGGCTTAGTCGGGTCCCTCAGCCCCCAGGCTCCCACCTTCTCATCTGTAAAGACATGAAACCCCCAGGTCCCTTCTGATCTTGGGTCTTCCCCTGTGGCCGCGTCTCTGGTCAAGGGAGACAAGACAGTGTGCGTGAAAAGAATATAATGACCAAGTACAGAAAATCCGCACATGAACCCAAATCTGAGAGCACGTCAGAGAAACGAGCTGCCCAGAACAGGAGAGGCTGACCTGGGGTGGGACTGATCCCTTGCACTACTTCTAATTTCTATGATGCAGGGGCACAAGACAATTTGAGGTTGTCTTGCAAGAGCTATAAAGCCATCTGAGCCCTGGTAGCTTGATGGGCTCCAGAGAGTCAGGTCATCGTTTTTGCAAGCAAGTACAAAATCTAAAACCCTCATTTCAAATAT